TATATATATATATATATATATATGTGTATATATATATATATATATATATATATATATCATCGATTAGTTAATTAAAACCATAATGGATTCTTTTAATGTTTTTTTTTTAAATCATTGAAAGTTAGTTTTTTTTTAAAATCGTATAATATTTATAATTATATCATAAGAAAATATAAAGATTTTTGCTCATTACATAGATTATGTATTGAGCAAATCTATAATAACAATATCTACGCAATACAATAAAAATTTATAAGTATATAATAATTTTCTTGAAAAGAAACATTTAAAAAGTTAACCCAACATTAACCTAACAAGTTGATATATTGCAGTCCATATATTAATTGAATAACAGAATATGGAATAAATGAGTAAAATATAAAAGAATAAGAAAAATAATATATTCGTTTTTATCAAATATATATATAATAATACTTTATATTTCTAATTTAAGTTTTTTCAATTATTTCAATGATTTCTATATTTCACTTAACTTTCTCATTAGAATAACTACCAGTTACAATCATACAACGTTTTATTCAATCATTTGTTTTCTTCATTGTATTATAATCTTTTCTATACCTGACACACCTGTTCTCATTCCATTCGCTGCTTTTGCTCACACATTTCTCATTCAGAAACAGTAATCCGTTTATTCTATTTTTAAAGGTTAGATAAAGCAATCTGAAGCAAGTTGCATAAAATAGTATTTAATAAATTTTAAATTTGAAATTATTAGAAAAACTTTAAATTGATATTGTAAAAAAAAGTAATAAAATATCCATCTGTTTTTATATTTCATGAAAATGAAATTATAAAAAATACATCAAGTTGAAAGAATGAAATATTTAAATCTTACATAAATATTATTTATTAAATAAATTTCTATTTGCAAGTATAATAAAACTATATTATAATAAAAATATATTAATAATTGTACCATCAAGATATTATAAACATTATGTCATAAACAAGCATTATTAAATAGACTATTTTACTTAATATTGAATCAATCTTTTTCGAATTCAATCTGGAATCTTGAAATATTAACTTTATTATCTTGAAGTATTATTAAGAAAGTTGATATGATTTTTGTAATTTAAAACGTATAAATATTCATATGGAAATCAATATTAAGTTAAATTTTTTCTTAAAATAACTTACATAATTTAACAGTTTCTTTATTTTTATAACTTTCAGTTAGATTAATCAATTAAATCGTTACATTTAATAGATTAATAAATAGATTCTTTTTTTTTATGTTTATCAATATTTATATTTTTTTCATTTTTAATATTTATTAAAATTAATTGATTTCTACATTTATATATGTAATAAAAGTTTACTGATTTTTTTATTATTTATTATATTTTATATTTTTTCTTTAAATAAAAAGAATTTCAGTTGAATAAATTTTTTATTTTCACAGTAAATTTATATATATGAAAATATAAAATATTATATATATTTATTTATTTATTATAATTTATTATTTATTATATTTATTTAGTATTATAATTTGTATATATAGTAATAATTTTTTTAAATTTTCTTATTATAACATTTACTTAAAAAAATTAATTTATAGACTAAAAATGATCATTTTATATTATAAAAAATACATTATAAAAAAAACAATATATATTATTCAAAATTGTATCAGAAATTTAGTAATTTTTAATATTATATTGTAATATTTGTTTATCATTATTTCTTTAAATTCGAATTGTTTTGAACGATTATATTTGTTATAAATTGATCATACGATAATTATGAATTATATCATGAATTATAATCATAATCCATTTCTACAAATAAAACTGATATCAAAACAGAAATATATAATATATTTATTTATATTATTTATGAAAAATATATAAGACATATGTATTAGGTAAACATATATATTTTTCAATAATATTCTATAGATTATCTTGCAATATTTATTAAAATAATATTATTATAATTCATTTTCTTAATTGAAATAATGATTATTAACTCGAGTAGTTTATTTTCATTATTTTAGGAAAAATTAAATTTCATTTTAAATAAATATTAATATGATGACTTTTTAAAATTTTGAAGATTTAAAAATTTGTTTGCACTGAACAAAATAATGTAAATAATTAAATGTCTGTATGATTTTCCAATTATCAATTAATCAATTAGTTTTTAAAAATCAAAAAAGAAACATGAAGTAATTAAATCATTATATTTTTAAAATAAAACTTAAATATTAAAATAAAAATATATTATCGGATTCATAATGTCCGATAAATGCCACAAAAATATTATTTTATATTTTGATTAATATATTCTACATTTTTTAATAATTTATCTAGAAAAACAATATTAAATATTAAAAAATAATTAATAATCAATTTTTAATTGAAGAAAAAAAAATTAAAAAATATTTTCAAATTATACAAAAAATTTTAAATCACTAAATATTCATTAAATTGATCCTTTGCTTTAAATAATAATTGAATATAATGCTTGGAAAGTAAGGAGGTTGAAAATGAATTTCCTATTTGAATTTATTTATTTTTGTCAGTTATTTTAAGCTTAATTAATCGTTATAAAATTGTCATCATATCAATTGTCTTGGTATCAACAAGAACGTAAAATTTCAATCTATTATCTTATATCTTCTAACTGGCTAATTTAAAAACCAGAAAAAATTAAAGATTTTGCAATATTTGTCTATAACTTCAAAAAAATTAAAAAAGATTATCTATAAAATTTCTTATTATACAAAATAGCCCAAATAATATCTATATCTATCTTATACACAATTTACGATCCTTTTTTTAAATATATTATTCTTATTTGAATATAATAACTTGATTGTCAAAAATGAATCTATCTATCTTTGACTTTAAAAATTCAATTATTATGAAAGATCTTAAAAAACACGAATTTAATTTAACGATATAAAAAAATATTTATTCTCAAAAAAGAATTCGCAATCTATCAATCAAATACAATCACCAGTATCAAATACATACCTATGGTCCAAATGGTTAAACGAATCAGTTCATCTTTCTCTGTTTTCATTTTATTTCCATTTGCTGTTTATTATTTTTAAAGATTACGCGCAAAGGAAATCTAATTTGCTTAGCATACGATCCAAAGTGGAATTAAGCTTAAACGATCGATGGCGGATAACAGGGTCCCGGGTGAAGGAAGAATGCGAAGCAAGTACGGTCTGGTGTACAAGGTGGTACATAAGCCGGATGGGTTTGTCTCGTGTTCCAAGTATTACAAGAGCGATGTCCACGTGTCGAGACTGTCAATTCGTAATGTTGCGCGCGACGAGCATCTTCGTCCACGTTCGCCTACCTTCGGCCACCGGGTTTTTCCCCTTCCTTCCTCGCCTTTTTCATGGGAACGTTGACTCCGAGGCGTGGCGCCGGAACTCGAGAAACGTCCTAGCCCGACGACCTCCTCGGAAATTACGTGAGTCGACCGCGTTCCATTCACGATTGCCCTTACTATCGCAATCTCGTTAGATCCTCGATTCCCTCGACCTTTCCCGCCCTTCAATACCGACTCATTAACTCATTTGTCCCTCAATCTCGATCAAATTTCCCGCCATTTTTCTTTGCACTCGAATCAATTTCTCTTCGAAATCGGTAAAATAAATAAGATAAGTAGATAAGATAAAGATTCTTCTCTCTTCCCGTAATTTTTGTTCTGGAGAACAATGCACATATGCACGTCTGTCTAGAGAGACAAACGTTTCGAACGTTGAAAAAAATTTGACAAGTCGAGACGAAGAAAATTTTTCTTTGTAGAAAGAATAAAGTTTTTTTTTATCGTGTAACATGTAAGATTTGTATTTTAATAAAAATTAATAGCTCTTGTTAAAAAGATAAATAACAAATAATAAGCGAGTCACACTATCATTTTATCATTATAGTGAATGAAAATTTTGTTATCTGGCCCGATATCCAGGGAAAGAAATTCAAACGTGCCGAGTAAGCAGGAAACTAGAAACTGAACTTATGAGCATGTTATTGATCGGTGGTCACTAGTGCGCCAGCGCAGCGCAATCCTAAGGGCAAAACAGTAGCAATCTACCCTCATTCACGTTTTGTGCAGTGTTCTTGTGTCGTTCCATCGTCCATTCGCCGCTTCTAGTTTGACACTTTTAAAGTGTCATCGCGCGTGGCTAACATGTCCGGTGGTATGTATGCATACGTTTAATTTTAGGTCTTTTGTATCTTTCTTTCTTTTTTTATTCTCTCGAGTGAAGAAAATGAGACGAAAGAAGACAAAAATGAGGCGAAGATGGATGGAATGTGAAGGAAGACGAAAAGAGAGAGAAAGAGAGAGAAGAAGAAGAAAAGTTTATTAACATTTAATCGTTTTTCATTTTATTCATCAAGACAGGGACTATATTGGATTTGCAACATTACCCGAGCAAGTGCACAGAAAATCGGTTAAAAGAGGATTCGAGTTCACTCTGATGGTGTTAGGAGAAAGTGGCCTTGGAAAATCTACATTAATAAACAGTCTCTTCCTCGGAGATCTTTACAAAGATCGACGAATCCTTGATGCAGCTGGTTGGTACTACTAAATAGTACAAAAATATTAAGTCGCACGTTCATTGCCAAAACCAGTTCTTCTAGAACGCATTGAAAAAACAACAACGATAGAAAAGAAGACAATGGATATCGAAGAACGTGGAGTCAGGCTACGTCTAACGATCGTTGACACACCAGGTATAATCTCTTTTAATATCCAACTTTTCTGGAAATTGATAGCGATATTTTGAGGTATATTAAATTTTTGAAAAGTAAAAAAAATTTTAGTTTTTCTCAATAACAAATTCTCAAGCATTGAGCTTTTATCCAATTTTATTTAAAAAAATTGTGCTAAGTAATGATAAAAAAAAATGATAGTTAAAAAATTGTGTCAAATGAAATAAAAGATTACAGAAATTTTTTGTATTAGCTATCTGTTAATTCACCATTTGATTCATATCTCATAATGATTTATATATCTTAATTGTTTTAAATATTATATTATTAATTATTTTTATATATTAATAATATCTCAGGTAATATCGTAAATTTCTAATTATGTAACATCTTTGTATCGTTATTATAAGAATTTTTTAAAAATTGCCAAAATTATTTTGAAATATGAAAATTAATAATATTTTCTCGATAAATCATATATTTTTTTCATTTCATTTATAATACTTGAAAAAATAAAAGAATATCAAATTAAAAAAACTTATTTTCTTGTTATTTTAGATTAGTATTAGTTTTTATTTTTAGATAGTTTTAGATTTTATATTAGATAACTAACTATGACTAAGTTTTATCACTGTTACTATTATTTATCATATCGCTATTAATTGCAAATAATTATTTCTAAAAATTCTATTAATAATAGCTATTTTTATTCTCTTATAATATAGAATACGGATATTGTGAAACTAAAGGAAACTAACTAGACAAAAAAGAATTATAAAAATACCAATTAAATCACAAAAATATAAATTAAAATATTAACAGGAAGTAATTTCACTTTTCTGAATCATTGATTTCTGAATACTTTCTAATGTTAATGATTAATATAAATTGTTTTTTTTTTAGTATTATTTTTATAAACATCTTTTTCATAACAATTTGAAAAAACATAAATTTTTATAACACTGCAATATATTTGCAATATAATTAAGTTTTTTTTTACATTTGTAAATTAAAATTGAGTTGTGAAATATCTATTATTCTAATATATTTCTTGTGTCTTGATATATGTTATTTTATTGAACATGAATTTCTTTATGTTTTTCAATGTTTATTTTATTATTTTTATTTGTTATTCAATAAATTAGAATAGATTTATATTAAAATTAAATTAAAGTCATAATATTTTGCTATAATATAAACGATTAATTATTGTTATATCATCAGTTATATTCATTTGTTCATGTTTTAACATATTTTTAATAATTATCAGATAACTTATAGTTTGTATATCCAATGTTAAATTTCGACTTCATGAAAATTTTATAAAACTATTTTCTTATCAACTAATTAATTATATGGTTTTTTTTATATTTTTCGAAATATTTGTCGTTAGAATTTGTACATTCAATAATTTTATCTAATAACTGCAATTTGATAATTGGATTCTAATTCCATTAATTGCAATATTAACTTAATAATACTAATCAAATAAAAATTATTAATTTCAATTAATTGATATGAATCATATTTCAACAAATTATTTTCCTATATTATTAATATTCTGAAAATTAAATAACTTTAAAATTAAAAATTCAATCAAATTAAATAAAGCATATTAAAAATATAATTATTTTTCTTTTTTGTTTTTCTTAAAAATAATTTCAAATTCATATATCTAATATAAACAAGTTAAAATATGAATTATTTTATCTAATTATCTATTTTATCTTATTTAATTGTTACTTAATTTAAATTAATATCTAAATTCAGACAAAAATATTATTTTGCTAATATAAAATATCATTATCATAAAATGAATTTATTATAAACAGTGATTTGCAAGTCATTTGAAATTATGTTATCGAGTTAAATTATGTTACAATATTTATGTTTATGATACCGAAATTAACATAACTTTTTTACCAACCCAATATATATATATTATTTTTATTAGAAGAAAATTTCACTTATAATAATTGGAATATTCTATAATCTATAACAAACATTTATTAAATTAGTCCATAATTTTATTTTTTCAAATAAATCTATTTATCAAATAAATCTATAAATCTGTCTTTTCTTCATGTTCTATATAATTTATTCTTATAAACAATTTACTAATTTTATTATTTTACATTTGTAAAAAATTGTTCAATAATTGAACAAATCTTTGTACATTTTCTTTATCCTCCAATCATCTTAAAATTATTCATGTGTATAAAATTATGTAATCAAAATAATATTTCTAATTGTATTAATTTATAAATATTTATAAATATTTCTAATCTTTTCTAAATTTTTCTTATAATTATTTATTTAAAAATATTTTTAATAATTTTTATAATATTTTCCTTATGTTTAATACGTTCGCTACCGCTCTCTAAAGAAAAATATTTTAATTATATTTTATAATTTTATACAGTATAACAAAAATATAAAAAAAATTATAGTATAATAATTATAATATTAATATATAATATTAATATAATAATATAAATAATTCTTTATGCTATATATAATCATTTCTTGAATAGAAAAAAATTCTATAAAAATTAATAAACGATGTTCATGAAAAATTTATATCATATATGTGATGTATGAACAATTTTATTTTTCTTTCGATTCAATTTTTTAAACTAAATTCATATAAAATAATCATACAATTTTTTTTAATTCAATTTTCAATTTTCAATATTTTTTAAAATAAATTTATATAAAATAATATAGTAGATAGCCAAATATAATGGTTAATATTACTTAATTTAATTAATTTTAAATTCTGAAAAAAATAATAATAATTTTATATGCATTAAATATGATTTTATATCGATGTCATTAAATATAAAATGTAATATAAAATATATATAACGAAATATATAATATGTATATATAATATAACGAAACCTCCAAGCAATTAAATTAATATTTATTCAGGATTTGGCGATGCAGTAAATTGTGAGGACACTTGGAAAGCATGTTCAGCCTATATCGACGAACAATTTCGACAGTATTTCACGGATGAAAGTGGATTAAATAGGAAGAATATTCAAGACAATCGAGTACATTGTTGCTTATACTTTATACCTCCTTATGGTCACGGGTATGTTCAAATATCTCTTCAACGCTTGACTATATGTATATGTTGCGTTTACTTCTTTTTTTTTATTTTTTTCTCATAGACTTAGACAAATTGATTTGGAAGTATTGAAACGATTACATCGTAAAGTAAATGTTGTCCCTGTAATTGCGAAAGCGGACACATTGACTACATACGAAGTGAAAAAATTAAAAGAACGAATCCTTACTGACATCGAAGAACACGAAATTCAGGTAATATATTTTTCAATTTTTTTATTAAATTTTGCGGATTTTTTACTTAAAGTATTTATTAAAATGATTGTTACAATTTGCTTTCGCAATTCTTAACATATCATGATAAAATATGATAAAATAATTGATATTCTTTATTAAACGGAATCTTTAAAGAATCTCATGGTTTTTTATTTTGCATTATATATAATATTTATATTATATTTACATTTCTTATCATATAAATATTTTTATTAAATTTCTAAATTATATAAAAAGTGAATTATATTAAAAACTTTCGCCAGTTTTATTTTTTAATTGTTACAATTTCTATTTTGATTTAAATATTATAATCTCATCGATACATATAAGATTAAGGTAATAAAAATACATATTTGAAAAAAATAAAATTAAGTTTTACTTATATATTTATACAGTTTTTTGCACAATTAATATTAAATAATATAAATTTAACATTTATAAAAAAGAAAAATAAAATGAAATATAAAAATATAATATCCAAAAATCATACAAAATTTTTTAATAATATTTAATCTTTTTGTAGAAATTATTGTAATTAATCATTTTCTATATTCTATATTTGCCTTTTATATATTATATAAATTAATAATGAATATATAAAAACATATACATATGGAAAAATTGCTGAAAATATTTTTTTAATATTTATTTTTTTAATATTTAATGATATCAAAAACATATATATTGGGATTCTTTGGAATTGGGAAGAATTTCATGTCGATATGAGAAGAATTAATTGAAAGTACTAATTAATAGTATATATATATAAATTATATTATATTTTACTATCCAACAAGAATTCTACTTATTTAGAAGCTTTTGTTAATTATTTCTATTGACTACAAATATCTATTGCTATCTTTTTAAATAATATTGTACTGAATGAGATAAATAATTATCTTCCTGAAACAAATGTACATTTCGATAATTTATAAAAGTTTGTACTTTAAATGTAAAATATTTTAAGATATTTATTGAGATCAACATTTTTGAAAGATTAATATTTATTTCAAAATTTAATTTCATATGAAACATTATTTCAATGTTATTAATTTAAAATCAAAAATGGTAATATCAATTAAAAAAAGAATTATAATATAAAGAGAGAAATATAACATAAAGAAAATAATATAATCAAAGATATAATATCTGGAGAATAAGTTGCTTGAAAATAAATTATTAATTTAAACAAAAAGATATTTTCGATCATTCTATATATATTATAAATAATTTTTTTAAAATTTTTTTCAAATTATTTCATGCCAATAAATATGCCCATCTTTATTATAATAAAATCACTAAGTTTTCAGAAGAAAAGTAGCATGAGAAATGTAAATTCAATGTAACCATCATTTAAAAACAATTCACAAAATTTATTTAATGATCTAATGCTTAATAGATATATTTTATAAAGAAAATATAAAAATAAAGATTAAAGATGAAACAATAAAATATGATATTTTTTCATACAGATATATCAATTTCCTGATTGTGATAGCGATGAGGATGAAGAATTTAAGCAACAAGACAAAGAGCTTAAAGCGTGCATCCCGTTTGCTGTAGTCGGTAGTTCAACAGTGCTCGAAGTCGCAGGAAAGAAGGTTCGTGGTCGTCAATATCCTTGGGGAGTGGTAGAAGGTAACTAAATTTCATATTTTCAAACAACAGAAAACAATCCTAAAGTATGTATCTATATATATATACATGAAGTCGATGAAGTTTTAAAACTAATTCTTTTCAAAAAATACTGGTTAAATTATCTAATTATTATTTGTTGGCATAATTTAGTAATATTGTTTAAATTTAATTTATGAAAAATTTCATCTATTCGATTATAAATATCCAAAAATTTAAGGAATGATGCTTTAAACCAAGATAAAATGAAAATTATTTTACGATTCAAGTTATTTGAATTATTCTATTCCTTGTGAAATATTATCAGAAATATTTGATTTATTTTAATTATCAATAACTAAAAAACATTAAAATAAATATTATTTTTTTATTTTTGATTATTTTCTTATTTCGAATTTTTAAAAAATCTTTAATCTGTGCAACTTAACTTTATTTAACCTAATATACGATTATATACGATAATAACGGATTCTTTCATATGATAATACAGAAATATTGTCATAGTTTTTATTGTCATAATTGTCAAACATCGAACAATATGTGGCAATGTATTTTATGAAAATTTTAACTATTTCTTTCACTAAAATCGGCTTCTATAAATTATCTTCTGTTTTGAAATGAAAAATGACGCTTTAAGAAATGTCATTTTAATTTCATCGAAAATATCTATATCAATATAATAATAAATAAATTGAACAAAATTTCTGGCAACTAATTTTTACACAAAATTTCAGAAATTTTATGACTGATTTAGAATTTAATACATTGAAATCTAAGAAGCAATAACACTTTTTTCTTAAGAATTTAATTGTTAATAGTTCTAAAACTTCGTAGACACAACTTAAATCAAATTATTTGAATTCCAATTAACATTTGAATTTTAATGGAGCGCAGTGGAAAACCCGAAGCACAGTGATTTCGTGAAATTAAGGACAATGCTGATATCTACGCACATGCAAGATCTGAAAGACGTCACGCAAGATGTGCATTATGAGAATTTCCGGGCACAATGCATTTCACAAATTTCACAGCAAGCGATTCGGGAACGGAGGTATTTACGCATGTAAATAAGTATTGCATTTCAGTAGGTATATCGTCTATCTCTCTAGATGTATATCCATATATATCTATATATCCATATATATTTTCTGATACTTATTTAAAATACTTATGGTATCTTTTAATAGATAAATATTTGACACTTATTTGGAACAATAAATCGCTTCATTGATCGTCTTGAAATATGTATATGTATATTGTGAATTTTTTTAATTCTAATGTTTTCTGGGACAAAAAATTTCGAAAAATATAGATGATATGAAAAAATATTTTAAATGAAAATAATATCAATATAATATAAATTATATTAATATAAAAGAATAGTTTATGCTGTCATTTAATTGATCTTACAATGTCTCTGAACAAACTTGCAAAAATCAAATTTCAACGTAATTAAAATCTATATATTATTATAATTGACATCAAAATTCTTTTCGAAAAATTAATTAATTTTTAACATAATCCATTGATATATCGTAAAATTAAAATTGGCATTTGCCAAATTTAACAGCCTTAGATTTTTTATGTATGACGTAGACTATTTAAAAAATAATATCTTTAAAGTTAAGTCAAAAAAAGTAACAGAACAATTCGTTTTTTTGAAAACAAATAAACTTGTTGTGCATCGAAGTAAACAGTTGAGAATTAGAATATTTATTAACATGAAATCTTTATCAATGTGTCATATACGTGTATAATTATATTTTTTTATAATTACTATGATATAATATATTTATATATATATTATATAAGATGCTTATACTATAACAATAATTAGGAAGTAGTAATAATACTTTGAGTTTGAATATGATTACGTAGGAATTATTATGCTACAACAAAATTCTTATATGAAGATGTTACTCATTTATTTGACATTATTAATAACATCATAAATTTCATTGTATATCAAGTAATATTTAGATTATTAATAAAAAATAAAAAATTGAGAAAATATTATAATTATTCATGATTCTGGATTAATTGTAACATTAAAAAATTAAGATGTTTAATCAATCAAATTATAATAATAAATGAAATTAAATAAAAATAATTTTTATTATGTATAAAGAAAATTAAAGACATTACAAAATATTTTTAATGAATTATTTTATCATATTTATAATAAATATATATAATATATATAATATATAATATATAATATAATATATAATATATATAAATGATTTTTTTGATTTTTCATGTATTTAAATTTGCTCATAATGTATTGTATCAATTTTTTATTTATATTATTATTATTTATATTATTATTATAATAGAAAAAAAATAATAATACAATTTATCGAATTTTTTTGTATTAAAATTATTTCTGTATTATAACGTTACAATTCTATTTGCTGATGTTACAATCGTGTCTTATTATATTTTTAAATTTATATTATAAATTTTGATTAATATTTGAAATGTTTAAAATTGCTAAGTAATAATCAACATTATTTTAAAAAACATAAGATTAAAAATTAAAAAATACATAAAAATAATTACAAAGAGAATATTTATATTATAATTTTAAATTAGTAAAAATTATTCTATAAAATCGAAAAATTATTTTGTTCATTATACATATCCGTATCTATATTGCTTGGTGGATAAATGTATTTTAAATATCATTTTTCATCATATATTCAAAATATCTATAATATATTTTGGCAGAAAAAATTTAAATTAAAAATAAATTTTATAGTTTTTGAATATGTCTCGATCCACAAAATATTAATATATTTTATGATTCTCAGTTGTTTTTTTTTTTTCGAGATTAATGCAATTTATTCCAATTTTACATAGATATTTAAATAATATAAAATATATGTTTTTAATAATATAAAAGATATCAATTACAGTTTATAATATTTCTTACAAATTTGATCTGATTATATGAAAAATGATTATAGAAAATGATAACAGAAAATAATAAAAAATTCGATAAAAGATATCAGTATAAAAATTGCTTATCGTGTTAGGTTTACGAGATACATGGATAAAAGATCAATTTTTGCTATATTAATAAGGCTATTATAACGATAATTTTTTATCAACTGTAATCGTATAGTATTCACTATAAAATCAAATATTATTTATAATCAATAATATAATTAATAATATAATTAATCAATTTTTCTTTTTGATAAAATATATCATTTTAAAATTATTTAATTTTTAATACGTATAAATAAACTTACCATAATATTTTATCTTAAATATTCGAAAAATCATAAGTATAAAATTTATTTTTATAATTTCTATTCTTTTCATTATAAATTAAAAATAACTTTAAAACAATGTATCTTAACAAAAAAAATCCTATAATAATAAATTATATTTAATTTTACTAAACAAGAATATTAGGCGATAGAATTGGTAAAAATATTAGAAAAAATCTTAGAAATTCTCTCAATGAAATATTCTTATAAAAATCGGTACTTTTTATTCATTTATTTTCTAAAGTTATATATTATAACATAAGCAATTTTTTATATTTCATCTTAGAGAAATCTTTTCATTATCGAATAACAATACGGATTTCTTCTATATTAAATGATTGATTTTCTTTTATAATAATTTTATAATAATTTTTATATTATTAAGAAACATACTATATTATAAGAATATTATAATTCTATATTATTATTAAGAATTATAAGAAATATGTATATAAAATTTGAATATATTGCATTAATTGTCATAATTACAAAAATATTAAAAATCATAATTTGTGTACAGAATACAGTTTTTTAAAAATTCGATTCATTGATGCAAATTTGTTTAAGGATATTGCAAGATCAAATAAATAAATAATAAACATTTTTTATATTTTACGTATTTTTTTTAAAGAAGATTAAGATGAATAAAAAATAGTTATATAACTATATAACTTATATAACTATTATTATTTCCAAAATATATACTTTTTAAAAAAAATATTTCTAATATCTTCTACTTCAAATTCAATAAATTTTTGAAGCTCGATAAATTTAAATCTAAATTCTATAGAAATTTGTATTAAGTATCTATACGAATATATAATTAAAAAAAAAATAAGTAAAAGTATTTTAAATAAGTTTCTATTTTTTCTTTTCTCCTTTTTTTCCTTATATTTTTCATTATTTTTCTATAGTGTTATTGTTGTTTCTATCTTTTGTGTTTGTAAATAAGATACTAGTTTCTTCGTCACATCTTTGGATCTTCTTCATTTTATTAATATAAGATGTTAAATCAACAGAAGTGAGTAATTTTACTTTCTTTCGTTCACAGTAAACTGAAAAGAGATTCGGGTCCACATTTCGAAAACAGTATATCAGACACAGATAGACTACTCTTGCAGAAAGACGAGGAGGTAAGAAAATGACAAAGAATTATGAATAATCGATATTACGTGCTTCTTAATTATACGTAACTTTATTTAACATAATATTTGAAAGAATTTTAAATAGCATGCATTAGTTATTTTATATTGTTTCCTAAAACAATATTGTTAAGTATAAAATAAGAAATGACTTCATGGAATTATTTTTGTTTGCTATTTTTACAAAAATCATCAATTTGATTTACATAAATTAATCAAAAATAAGTATTTATATGGTAATTAATTTCAACAAAAATATTGTAAAACTTCATTAATAAAATTTCATTTATCAATTTAATAAATAAATAATATATATATATTTTTAGAAAATTCTTATTTATTACTTGAAAAAAAGAAATTGTAATATCTATATTTGTTCTTAAAATGTTAACAAATTTTTAAAAAAATAGCAAAGATATATATTCAAATAAGCATTTGCACAATTATAACTTCATTAAATCTTATAAAAAAGCAAAAATTTATTTCAAATTTCAATGTTTCAAACACTGCATGAGATTTTAAAATTTAACATAAATAATTTAACATAACAGTGAGTAAAACATAATGATTTTCTCTAATTAAGAATTTGAAAAAAAAAAAAATAAAGAACTTAAAAAATAGTTACAACAAAAATTGTTAAAAAATTTAAAAATAATTTCGATATTGTAGTTTATAAACAAAACAATAAAATTTTGAAACATTATAATAATTTCAATTTTATTTTGAAATCTATATATCACTTCATTGTTCAATTTATAAATTATATATTTTACAAGTTGCAATTTTTTGCAATTTTTTTTAAATTATTCTTATTTAATATCTTATAATTTTTTGTATTTTTTTACTTCATACATTATTCTGTAAAATCATAATTATAAATAATTTTATATATTATATATA